GGCATCCTTGGCGGGTTCCCCGGCAAATAGGAATCTCCTGGGACAGGTGCCCCAGATACTTGACCTGGGCCATCGGGTTAGAGTACAGTACCCGCAACCATACTATAAAGGATTCGCCAAAACCCCATTTATGAAGGATGTAGTATAGATAGTCCCATGAGATGGAGTCAAATGCCCTCTGTAAATCTAGCGATAATAGGAATCCCGGGATGGTACGAGACTTGAGGGTATGAATTAGGTGTATTATTTTGCGGATATTATCCCCTGCCTGCCTACCAGGGATAATGGGAGTATGGAATTGAGTCGTGTGGATAAGACTTTAGTTAAGATTTTGAGATCAATGTTCAGCAAGGATATGGGCCTATAGTTGTTTGGGTCCAAGGAGTCTTTGTCTGGTTTGGGGATCATTGACACATAGGCTAGGAGTGAGGAGGGGTGTAATGTACGGCCCTGTCTTAGGGAGTTGAACATTGCTGCCAGTTTAGGTGCCAGGAGGGGGGCCAGTTTTTTTATAGTATAGGGCCGAAAAGCCGTCGGGGCTAGGGGCTTTGGAGGGTTTGAGGTGCTTAATCGACCGAAAGTATTTCTTCCGCAGTTATAGCGAGGCTTAGGTGGTCCGACTCCTCCCGTGTGATCTGCGGCAGTTCAACATTCTGCAAGATATCGTCAGCCTTCTCAGCATTAAAAGTGCAAGAATTAGTATAGAGAGAGGTGAGATTCTCCTGGAAAGATGTTAAAATATTTATAGGATTTGCTGAGATCGTGCCACCAGTGGTGTTCAATCTAATGTGGGCTGGTCTATTAGGTAACATTTTACGTTTCCTGGCCAATAACGTGCCAGGTTTGTTTGCCCGCGAGTAAAATCTGTGCTTGGTCCACCTCAGGGCCCTTTCTGCTCCCTGATCCAGCAAGAGGTTCAGCTCCGTCTTTACTGAATTAAGGCGCGCCAGGAGCCCACGGTCGAGTTTATCCTTCAGTGCTCGGTCCAGGGTTTCCAACTCCCCCTGTAACTCGGTCACCCTCTTCCCTCTCTCTTTTTTGCGGCGAGAGGCTAGTTCAATGAGCTGCCCCCGCAGTGTGACCTTATGGGCCTCCCACAGAACCACCGGAGAACTGACGGACCCCTCATTCAGCTCAAAATATTGTGTAACGTATAGCTCAATAAGAGACATGTTCTCCACAGTGGACAACAGTGATTCGTTAATTCTCCAATGCCCCCTACCCTGAGCTCCCCCCTCTAGGCGGAACTGCACTACATTCAGAGCATGGTCCGACCATGGGATTGTTTTAATTTTAGCCGATGTAAAATGACTGAGGCAGCTTTGGGGGGTAAAGACATGATCAATTCTACAGAAAATCTGATGTGGGTTGGAATAAAATGTGAAATCTTTAACTGTCGGATTTAATTCCCTCCACACGTCCACTAGGTGGTGCTCATTCAATAGGGTTAGAAAGGCTGAGTTATTGAAGTGCATGTTCCTATCCTGGGCTGGGCTGTGTGCCTTTTTGGTTTTATCCAGAGTGGGATGGATCACCAGGTTGGAGTCCCCGACTAGAAAAAGAAGGCCCTTGGCATGATGTGCCACTGTTTGAAAAAGGTGGGACAAAAATCGGAGTTGGTGAGCATTAGGGGAATAATAGGTGACAAAAGTCACGTCGACATCGAATAGGGTGCCAACCAAGAGGATGTAGCGGCCCGTGGGATCAGCTATTTCGGTGTGGCATATAAAAGGTAGGGATCGGCGAAAGGCTATCAGGACCCCCCTTTTCTTTTCAGTAGAGTTAGCGCAGTGGAAGTTGGGGTAGTGCTTGTGTAGGTAGCGTGGACAGGCGGTTGTGGAGAGTCTCGTTTCCTGTAGGCATACCACATCGGCATGACATGAGGAATAGTACGAGAATGCCTTGTAACGTTTAGTCAGCGAATTGAACCCCTGGACATTGTGGGATAGTAATGAAAACTTGTCATTGGTAGCGTGAAGGAGTACTGACATCACCCGTAGCAGCCGCACATCACAGAGGAGTTGGGGGTCGGAGCTGGCGTAGCACGGGAGGTGAACCTGATGAGTCATCACTTTAGGGGACCCGGTAAGTGGGTGAGAACAGGATGGGGAGGGATCTTCAATAGAGGAAAGAGCACACGTTAAAACAGACAAAGACAGAACAATTAAACAAAACAAATTTAACCGTCCGTGGAGGTCGGTGGAGCAGGCCGGGGCAGGGGGAAAACCACTTCCCCTGCATGTCATCATGGGGGGCGCGATTCCACCGATCCCCATGGAAAGCAATCATATAATACACCTTAAGAAGATGAAGACTCTCAGAGTCGCGGGTAGGAGCGCATATAGCACTATAAAGGGTACGTCACAGGGCAAGTGCGAAGTACAGGTTTCCTAGGTTTCCCACAGTATCTCTCTGCGACCATACCGGTCTCGGCTCCCTTGCATCTACAACAGTAGAGATTGGATGGTGCCCAAACAAATGGTATTAAATCAAACAATTCAACGTAGTGCAGGAATAGTCAGGCCAGGAACGGCAAAAACAGAAAAAACCCCATAAAAAACGAAGAAAAAAGGAACCGGAGGCTGTGTATCCGCAGCCCCAACATCCTTCCAAACTTGCCAGTTCTATGACCGAGCCTTCTAGGGGGTCGTCGATTACGACCGGCGAAAACCTGAGGGAAAAAAATGTTATACTCCGAGCGGTAAGTAGGACCCTCAGGCCGGATCAAAGAGGGGAGGGCTGTCGCTCCTTGATTTCTGCGAGGCAGGTCTCGTCTTCTGCTTCCTTTCCCAGATTGGAGTCGGCAAGGCCGGGCGCTGGCTACCCCCCGCTGGAGTAGAGGTCAGCTGGGAGGAGGACAGAAGGGTAAGGCCGACCATTATCTTGCGGAGTTCATCTGGCGTGCTCGCAGTAAACAATCTATCCTTATGGCTGAACATCACTTTAAAGGGAAAACCCCATCTGTATGGAATATTATTCTTCCTGAGGATAGCGAGGAATTGTTTCATATCCCTGCATTTTTGAATGGTAGTTGGAGACAGATCCACGAAAATTTGATAGGGGTGCCCCTGGAATTGTAGATCCCGGCGATCACGGGTGGCGTGTAGAATGGCCTCTTTCGTTTTGTAGTACGTGAATTTAATGATGATGTCTCTCGGGGGGCCATCTCGGCGCTTTTGGGCCAAGGCCCTGTGTATACGGTCGAATTCAAGACGCTTTATTGGTATTGAGGGGACCAGCTCCTGGAAAAGGCTGTGACTGAGGAGGTGAGGTCCTCTATGAACTCAGGCAGCCCCCTTACCCTCAGGTTACCGCGTCTGGCCCTGTTCTCCAGGTCTTCCATTTTGTCTAGTGCTACTGTCAGTTTGTCAGAGAATGCATCCATTTCTTTCTCCTGTGATTCAATGACAGTGATCACATTGTCCATTTTTTGTTACAAAAGGTCTGTGCGGGCCCCAATCTCTCTAATCTCCCTGGTCAGTGTGGCTGCCAGCTTGCTAGTAGCTGCCGAGAGTTCCATTTGCAGCATGCTGCGGAACTTGTCAAGGAGGGCGGCATCCCTGTCAGTCTCATGGGTGTCAGCAGGGGTCATGGGCAAGCTGTCCATGGAGGAGGAATCAAATACCTCAGGTACCGCTGCTCTGGCTGCTCATGTCCCCACACGGCGTGGTGTGTCGGCCATCTTGGATTCCCTCCTGCCTCTGCTGAATCGCGGCTCCTTCTGCCGTTTGCTACGCCACATCCCACCGCTTCAGCGATCGGAAGATGTGCCCGATGTCCCCCGACTATGGGGCATCAGGCCACCCGGGTAAGGTGTGCTGTGATAGGCTTCTGTTGCTGTCCTGGGGATCGGTGATGCGGAGCTTGCTCAGACCGCGGCCATCTTGGTCAGCGGCTTGCCACGCCCCCCGATGTTGGGCTATTTGGTCGGGGATGGAGCTACTCGTTTCGGACTCTTAAGCTGTTCTGCGTCCTTTAGCATCTATTTCCTTTTCCTTTTTTTGTCTGTCTTTTTTTTTTTTCATTATGCTCGCACACGTGAGCTGTTTAGTGCAAAAAAAAAAAAAAGAAAAACATTTAAAAAAGAGGCCATAGAGGAGCCCAGCTATGAGGAAAGATTAGGTAAACTGAAATGATTCTCTCTTGAGAAGAGGTGACTAAGGGGGAGATATGACCACCATGTATACATATAGTATATAAATGGTCCATATAGTCAACATAGTGCAAAGTTATTCACGTTAAGGTCATTGCAAAGGACAAGGGGGCACTCTTTGCTTCTGGAGAAAAAAGAGGTTTAACCTTTGCCGATAGAAAGACTTCTTCACAGAAATAGCTGTAAAAATGTGAAATGGACTACAACAGGAACTAGTTCTAGCTAGCTCAATTGATTGGTTAAAATAATGCATGCATTCCTAAATACACAGAATGAGTTTGGATATTAACATAAAGAAGTGACAACACCAGAAACTGTTGATCAATAGAACATGCGATTGCCTTAGGTGATCAGGAAGGATTTTCATTTCCCTGTTTCACCAAACTGGACCATTCTTTATGGGGTTGTTTGCCTTCCTCTGTATCAGCTGTGGGTATGAAGTTCTCTAGATGTACGCTTTATGTTTACTTATTATTTTTTTCTATTGGTTGAACTCGATGTACTTTTTTCAACCTAACAATGTAATCATGTTAAGCGGCAGTTAGAGGCTGATTTAAAAAGCACAGTGGTATGCCTCCCCTGCACATTTCTAAATCACAGCAATCTGGTTTAAATGTGCTCTGCGCTGCACCAGCTTTGGGACTCTGATAATAACATTATTTGGGTTTCCATTACATGACCGAGTATTTGTCAGTCAAACGATCAGAGTACTGAAAAGTGAAAAAAGGTGATGAAGGGGTATATACCAGCAGGTACTTAAGTGGATGAGGAGCAGAAAATGAAGGCCTTAGAAGATACAAAGATACAAATATACAAAGATACAAAGATATATTATACCAAATCTCACCTGGGATTGTCATTTCCGTTGTTGGTCAGAGAGTCTCCAACGAGAATTTCTGCTCCGCTCAGTCTCTCACCACAGCAGTCTCCTCTATTGGTGATGGTGATGTAGGAAACTTTATACGTTTTCAGCAGGTCCACCCTCCACCAGGGAGACGGGTCTTTGTTTGTACATGAACAGGAACCGTGTGAGAAGGCTGAGTCCTGGTTCCCATCTATTGCATTTATGGCATTGGTCAGATAACCTTCACCTTGGCTCCGGTAGATTGAGGACTGAGTGGCTCGACCCCGGAGGGCAACATTCTCATCTGTTGGGAAGCATTAGAGAGAAGATACAAACATTTTCATTATATAAACATATTCTATTGATCAGTCCACTTCCCTATCTACTGTATGTGAAATGTGTTGGAGGGCATTATAGCACGCAAAAGCCTCGTCTCGTAGCTCTGGTCCTCCATTCCCCTAATTAGTTTTGTTGCCCTCCGCTGGACTCTCTCCAGTTCAAGGACATCCCTTCTCAGTACCGGCGACCAAAACTGGACCGCGTACTCCAGATGTGGCCGAACCAGCGCTCTATATAGAGGCCCAATTATAGACTTTTCCCTGCAATACAGTAGTGAGTAACATTCCAGATTCTGCTCAGACAAAGGAGGAATCACAGGTGGGTGGAATGGCAGCCAAGCCAAAATGCTGGAAACCAGTTAAGTCAGGGTGGAGCCTTGACACCAATATGCTGTAAATGACACAGCCACTGCAGAAGGCACACCATGTGTGTGGTATTACAAGACACAAATACATTCATGGTAAATCCCTCTCCTGGTTTTTCTTTTTATTTTACAAAATATGTTTTCTTTTTCCAATTATATGTGTTCAATTTACATACCTTACATCTTCTGCTAAGATAATATCCTTTCCTTGACAACGTCCACTCCTCCTAAGACCTCCTGCTCTCTAGCCGCCTAATAACCTCCTCCCATGCTTACTTGCATGATCTCTCCAGAGCTGCCTCTCCCATCCTCTGGAACTCCCTACCCCAATCTGTCCGGCTCTCTCCTACTTTGTCTGCCTTTAGGAGATCCCTGATGTTGTATCTCCTCAGAAAAGTCTATCCTACCTCCTCCTAAAAAATGAAACAGTCAAGTCCATGAATCCCTCGCATTTTTTACCATCTGTATCACTTGCCCCTCCTTCTACATTGTAAGCTCTCATGATCAGGGTCCTTCTAACTCTCTTGGACAGAATTGTATTATAACTGTACTGTCATGCTTCGTATTGTAATGTGCTGAGAAAACACTGCGCTATATGAATCCTGTATAATAATAAGATAATGATACCTAGGTTTGCTCTTAAATGGGCACCGTTACTACATCTCACACCAGAAGATACCTACCAGCTTTTACTCAGGTGATGGTCGAATCTACTTAGATTCATGACCACCGAACAGTGGGAGGAAGTACAATTAAATATCATACACAGAGCATATTATGCCCTTAACTTCACCCCATCCTCGGCCAACACCACCTGGACCACTGACTGTCCTAAAGGCCACACTCCACGCCCTAATTTGGCACGCCTCCTTTGGCACTGCCCACATATCCAATCTCTTTGGCAGCTTGCAATTCATGACATGACCTCGCTCTCGGGAATACTTAGGGATTGTTCCCTGGCTTTATGCCTATTCCACTCCCCACCCACTTCCCCACGGGGCTCTGAGAAGTCATTGACATAATAGGAACCTGACTGCCTCCTGGCTATTAAGAAGAATATATTACGCAACTGGCTTTCCCCCCAACCTCCTACATTGAGAGATGTGAAAACTACAGTCCATCAACTCATGCTAATCCATAAATACTAAACATAACCTCATGCACACTGGTATATTTTTCCATACCTGGACCCGATTCCTAACGACTGAATGCACCCCGGATCAATTGAAAGATATTATGTCAATTTTTCAACACTCTCAATGATACCTCCAAGCCTTATCTGAAGGCTCCCTAGGTAAACTTAATGTTCTCTAACGCTAATCTACCTTCCAGCACTTAGACTTCAGTCAAAAGATCTACATCTTCTTTGACACCGTCTCCTCCCCCACCCAGATGCCCTTCACACATTCCTCATGGGTTTTTTTTCCTAGTCCCTTCTGTTCCACTCTCTTGTTCAATCCAATCCACTCGACATAGAGCATATGTTAACTATCAAATCTACAGGCAACCTTTGATTGGCAGAGCTATATGATTCGCTACTGTACATACCTATATAACGCGCACGCCCTCAGGAGCGGCTGGATGATCGGGTCTTCCATAGCCTGTCTAGAGATTTCTAAGCACCTGGCTGCCCCATTAGCACTTACCACCTCTAGTGGCGACCGACAAAGCGAAGTCCAGACAGGAGATAAAAGCTGAATTCCTTTTATTGCTGAAGCTTCAGGGAGAGAGGGTCAGGGTCAGGCACATCCAGGACGAGGTAGACTCCTTTAAGAAATAGAACAAAGTAACTGCTGCCATCACAGACTAGGACCTTTAAGCCATACCGGCAATCTGTGAAGAGAACATCAGGCAAAGCAGTACTTCACAAGTCAGGGGTGTGGAATTCCTATCGCCCGACGCCCGGCGCGACATGCAGTTTCCGGCGCCTGGCGAGCAGTTTTTTTGTACACTTAGCCCTGCTCCGGACAAGCAGAGCTAAGTGTACAGTGTGAAGCCGCCGGTCGTTTTCAAGTGATCTGATCATTTATCAGATCACTTGAATGAAACGAGAAGCAGCGATTCTGTCCGTCCCCCCCCCCCCCGTGGTTTTCGGGGTCCTCCACTCCTCTGGCCGACCCGGGACCACGGAACCTGAGCTCACCATAGTGCCCGCAGAGCTCTGTGTTATCACTGAGACCGTGGCGCTGTAATCACAGCGCCACCTGTCTCAGCTGTCAGGAAACTACACAGAACATTAGTTCTGTGTTGGAGGGCAGGTTCCATAAAGAGAACCTGTCACCTCCAAACTAAAGAATAAAATAAAAAAATGAAAACGAACCCCGCTGCTCCTGCCATCTGCATGCAAATAAACGCACGCATGGGACATTGTGTGTGTGCGTTGAGTGCTGCCGCCATTTCACTGTGCCATATTGTGGTAGCGAGGCAGCAGAACTCTCCCACACGCACAATGTGCATTAAAGGGCAAGTTCACTTTCCCAGGTAATATGGGAAAATGGAATTACCCGATCAAATCTGGCCCCCGTCTCTCCCAAAACCCTCCAGCCCCCGGCTATACTTACCTTTTGGTAAACAGTCCTTACCCTCCGCCGGTACAGGTGTACTGTCCTCACCCCGTACTGTCCAGCGCAGTCCTGCCCTATGCATTTTGAATTTCGCTCGCAAATTGCAAGCAGTCATTGGTCAGCGTGGTCTGGTGACCACGCTGACCAATGAGAAGCGCTATTTAGCACAGACCAATACAGTTTTGATTAGGGATGCACAGATACAGAGTATTTGGGCAAGTACTTGTACTCGCCCAAATGCTCGATATCTTCTCCAATACCGGAACTTCTGGTCAGAGGAAGCGGGGCAGCGTCTAATAACCCGCCTCCCAGTTTCCTGATTGGCCAGGAAGCCAGCTCCTTGCTGATTGGCTGGGAATCAGCATCGAGCCGGCTTCCTGGCCAATCAGGTCATTACTCGCCGCCCGGTTTCCTGTTTGGCCAGGAAGCTGGCTCGATGCTGATTGGCCGGGAAACCGGCTTCCCAGCCATTCACAATCAAGCCGGCTAAACAACATCTCATTACCCGCTGCCTGGCTTCCTGATTGCCCGGGAAGCCTGCTCCATGCAAAAAGGAAGCACTGATACTCGGTGAGTACCGAAAGCAACATATCGGTACTCGTACTCTATACCCAAAAACCGGTATTGGTGCATCCCTAGTTTTAATTAAAACTATTATTTTTTTTTGTATCAGGACAAGTAGATTGTTATGAAGGACAAGTAGATTTGGCCCCCCGCTTTAGCTCTTGGACAAGTAGTTTTTTCAAAAATGTCCACACCCCTGCAAGTCCTCGTATATGTCCATCTACAGCATTAGCGGCTGACCACTGGACTTCCAGATTCAGGCCCCAGTGTCAGTATCAGGCTAGTCCCCAGGCTTAGGCCCAGCCAGTTCAGTCAGTCAGCAGCAGCCTCCCCCCAGGTAGGCCCGGGGAGGGAAGACACTGTTGCATCAGCCACACTGAGCATTTATATCCTCTCCCAGCATGCATCACTTCCAGTGATTGGCTAGGAGACACAAATGCTCAGAACAATCCTAATTGGCTGCTCTGCTCTGTGTGGCACAAACATACCCAGCAACAGGCAGATGCAGCATCCAAAGATTGTTCTGAAGAAAATGAGATGAACATAGACTACAGATTTATCTCAGACTAAGTACAGTCTGAGAACAACTGAATGTTATAGCACTCCTGTTGGCAGGGTGCTACACCTACTATATAAGTTGCCTCATTACATGTTTTGATGTACCCTGATAACCTACAATTGTTTTAGTACACTACTGTTCTCGATTTACTATGTTCTCTATTATATTAGGCTTTCACCCGCTGTTTCACGATACCTTTCGACTGTTACCATGTTGTTACCTATGTACAGGGCCGTTGCTGCCACTAGCCAAACTGGGCAGCAGCCTAGGGCGCACTGCTGCCTAGGGCGCAGCCTCAACCACTCACCCCCCCCACACACTGAGCATTGGAGCTGAACTGAAAGACAACTTTCTGGCTAATGTCCCGGCTGCTTATTATGATTATTATTAATATACAGGATGTATATAGCGCCAACAGTGTGCGCAGCGCTTTACAATGTAAGGAAGACATTACAATACAAATCAAGACAAGATGGTAAGGAGGGTTCTGCCCCTGAGGGAGGGGGAAGTGATACATGAGGAGGGAGCTGTGTGGGGATGAATTATTTGAGAATGTGATGGTTCAGTGGTTAGGTTGAGGTGGGATCGGCTTCCCTGAAGAGATGAGCCTTAAGGGAACGCCTAAAGGTAGTCAAGGTGGGAGATAGACGGACAGGTTGGGGTAAAGAGTTACATCCATCTATCACCTATGGAAGCTAGCCGGCAGGAGAATGAGGCCGCGCGGGGGGTTGGGGGCTGCGCTGCGGGAAGGGGGCTGAGGGGTGCAAGTAGCTGGTCTTGCCTAGGGCGCAAAGTAGTCTAGCACCGGCCCTGCCTATGTATTGACAAATTTCAAATACAAATCTACTTGCAAAATAATAATAATAATAAGATAACCTGTTGCAGCTTATCCATAACATTAAGTTTAGAAAATA